GACTGACTTGTCTAGGAGATGAGTGATGGGTGTTGTCATGTGGCGACAAACATTACTGTGTGGACAATTTTAGCTGTTTGGCTTCGGAAAGTAGTGCTCAGGATTGTTTGCTTACAAAAGATCTAGCCTGTGACCAAATAACTCCAGCTTGCTATGGGAGACTGGGAGATGATGCCACTGAATCCTGTGAAGGCAAGATACAAGTTGGCACCTTATCTGCTGGCAAGGCAAGGAAGATAGGAACAAAGGAGTTTCTGCTGAGATCCCAGAGCCAGAAGCTGTCACTACAAGGAGAGCTGACTCAACCACTTTGGATTTGAGTTGTCACTCCAAAAAAGAACTGACTCAACAATTTTGGACTTATTTATAAGTTTGTACTACCACTGAAAGGTGGCCATCATTGCCATGGTCACCATCATCATCAACAGAACAACAATGCCTGACGACCCACCACTACTGAAGATCAATGACTGAACTATGAACCATGCTGGATCCATGGTGGTGACTATTTCCCTCTTGCTTCCTATAAAGACTCCTAGCTTCTTATTTCCTATCTTTTCTATCGCCCTCCTTCCCTTCCACATCTTAATTTATAATAGTGTTCGTCCTACCCTTCCCCATCTCCCTGATTAAGATCTGTAATAAATAGGTCGGACCAACATTTGAATTGTTGTTTCTTAATCTCACAGATATTAAAAGAACCTCCTCTCCCTGCTATAAATTGGAGCGAGACAATTGTTAAAAAATTGCCTGATGCTATTAGAAAGTTGTCAAGGCAGAAGAAAAAGTAGCAAGAAACTATTTGAAACACAACTTATTAAGTAAACAAATTATTTTAATGTGATGATGGGCAAATGTGTAAAAATCTTGAAGGACAGTAGCACAGGGAGGTAGATATTAGATATTTTAAATTGCTCTAATATATCCAAAAGCTTGTACAGAAAAATTGAATAATATTGTAATGCTGAGTGTCAGGCAGGAGCAGAAACCGCCATTATAATGTTATAATAACTCATAACACTCTTTCTTCTATTCTGTGCTTATGTTCTCCTGCTCTAATATGGCCTAAAAATTTAGCAGGAGAGGTGAATCTCTGAGTGCATTGCTCCTTTGGGAGCAGCTTCAAAGCGTAGAACCTGGCAGAACAAAGGCAAAGAGTATCTGTGGGATCCTTCACTCCATTAACTGAAGATGAGCAGGCAGCAGCAGCTTCTCCGTGGTGAAGAAATTCCATCAGAGAATGGGATGAGTAGCTGAGTGGAGAATTTCTGTTACCGAGTATCAGTATCTTTCTTCTGATATATACTGCCACACTGGTAATGTCTGCCTTTTGTTTTTGGTTAATGAGGAATTTGACAAACTCTTATTTCTGGCCCCTTCTCTAGCTGTTCTGAAATGTTATAAATAGGATATAGATGTATTTATCTTTGCCTCCTATGAAGGGATGTGGGGATAAGTATTGCTCTTTGTTTCAATGCCATGATATAGAAACTCTGGTTATCTGATATTCTTTGAAAGCTCTTTTTCTGAATCACATATACAGCCTGTATTCAGGCTGCAATTTCCTTTCAGCATTTCTTATAACCTATAGGACATTTGCAGTGGATATATATCTGCTTCAGTTAGAATAGCTACAGAAAGGAACTGAAAAAGCAAGTCAGGATATTCTGTAATCTCATTTATTGCCCACAAAATAAGGGTTTTTCAGTATAATTGTTGGTAATATTTAAAGATTCTGTTAATTTCAAGTTTAAGTACAATTATAGCTCTCTTAGAGAAAGAGCAAGACTTTTGTGATTTTGACATTTAGTGAAAATTCTGATATAGCGTCCATTAGCAAGTCTGCTTCTGGATGAGAAGAGTGTTTCAGTAATTCACTTGAAGGCAGAACTAAAATAAAATGCTTATGATTTATTTTATGGAAATTTGATGTCATCTAAATTACAGTCAGAGTGCGTAGCAAAATCATAACTAATTCCTTGCACATCAAAAATATGGAAATTTATAAAGAGCACAGAGAGTTCGCAGTATTCATACATTTTTTCCAGCTGAGCTATCAAGTAGCCAATTGTCCTGTTCTCTACTTTGTTATACTGGGCACGTCTATCAGAGTACTAATTTGATGGTGGCTGTGAAGATTGTGACTCCCAGCTCTTCATCTGATCCTAGATTTTCTGTGAGCAGTGTGGCAGCCCCAAAAGACAGTACAGACACAAAAGTCATATATTTTCTCCTGTACAGAGAATGTTTGCTCCTGGGATTGTTCTGAAGACAAAGAAAATAATGTTAGTGTCACCAAACTCAACTGCTGAAATGCATCTAAAACGTCTTAACCACTGGGAAATCCACTTTGAGCTGTAGTTTTTCAGTCATCGAACAAGCTGGTTTTCTGAACAAATCAGTGTGATCAAAAACACCGGTTTCTTCCTAGTAAGACCAGAAAGAAAATCAAATGATAGGGGTTTTTGTGTGTGGCTTTTTGGTGGTGGTTTTTTTTTTTTTTTTTTAAGCATTATAATTTCAGCAGATTCTTAATGTATGGCTCAGCAGTAAAGGACTGCAAGTTAGAGAGGTTACTTTCAGTGACATAATCAGAAGAATGTCAGCATTGTTCTGCAAGTATAGGGTTGTTAGCAGTCTACTCAAATTCCAGTTTGGGTAATTGCTTTGTCCTTAACTAAGTTCACTTGCGGTTCCTAAGGGATGCAATCTTAAACTTCTATTATATACCATTGTATTAAATCACTGTAGCCACTGTGGTTCACCCTAGAGCTAACCTTGTAATTCATGGATGTCTGCAAAGATTTTTGTATGGCTTGCATTCAGTTTGCGAGTCCTTTGAGATCCTTGTGAAGTGATATGTGTATTTGACAATATGACATCACTTTCATGGGGTAGATAAAATGGGGAAAGTGATTTCTAGCTAATGCAAAATAAATGCTGTAAAATTTTCCAAAAATTCAAAGGGAAGGAACAGATCTTTTAGATATATATATACATATATTTTTAATTTATTTTATTTTTTTTCAGATTTTTTTCTCCCCTTCATTTATAGTTATTTCAGTAATTTGACCAGCATTTTTGTGTAGGAGGATGGAGGAGATCAATGGGAGAGATAATGCTTGGGCAAAGCGGGAAGCTTACAGCATAATCCTCGACTGAAAGAGATGTGACATTGGTCAAGTACTCAAGAGGAGTACTGGGCCTATGTCCTCCTCCATCTCAAGGCAGGAGAACAGCTGCTACTAAGAATTTTTTTCTCCTAGTCCTATACTGGTTGTTAATACAAAAATAAGTAAATAAATAAAAATTCCTGAATCAAAAGCTGGAGCATTTGCTTCATTAGCTTTCAGATGAAAAAGGGGGAGAAATATTCAGACATGCATTCTAGACTGCTGATGGAAAGTATCCCTTTGACTTTGTTAATTACACCACATTGAAAAGACTTTTCATTCCAAAATACCTCAAGAGGCTAATTAGGAAACAGGATTCTCAGGCAATGCAAAATAACTTTCCTTTTATTTCTATTTTAGTTATCAGCTGTCTACTTATTTTTCAGTCTAGAAAAAAAAAAAAGATATTTTTCTCTGACTCTCAGGCTTTACCAATAGTAATAAAAGTTATTACCAAGAGAAATACACAGGCTTGTATCTGCAGAGATGAATTTTTGCTGTATTATTCCCAGATGCTTATAAAATCCTCCTTTTCATCAGATTTTATGATTTGAATATATTATTTTGCAGGTGTATAATTTGAATTTCTATAATCCTTACTGTTCTTGCCATTGCTTGTTTTTTTTTCTTTTTAATCTTTAATTTTTTTTTTCCAGTGCAGTCTTTCCAGAATGTCTTCTGAAATAGTACATCTGACTCTTACAGGTGGTTTGATGCAGTTATCAACACGCTCTTGAACACTGAAATCTATTTTGTAACTACTGTTGGTAAGTACTAATGATACTTAGCTTTTTCAGTGTGAAAGCCTGCATCATTAGAGAACTGAGGGGATTTAACAAGTTTGTGAGTTTGAAATTTTAATGCCAAGGATCCAAAATAGGATACTGAGATGATGAGAACGAGTTCCATTGTTTACTGCATAAAGATTGGTTGGAGATTTTAATTGGTGGGAAATTAATCCAGATGAAATGGTGAAGCTTATTATCATACATTCTGTCAATGTTTTATGGATTTTCTGTATTTTTCTCTTCTTGAAAGAGTGTTGTTAATGGTAGAGCTTTCTCTGGTCCTTGCTCAAGTCAATGGCAATATTACCTCTAGCTTAAAATCTAAAATCTTCCCTTTTCATATATTTAAAGGAGCAACAGCTTTGAGGACAAGTGTTTCATAACAGGTGTATTAATTCAACCCGTATTCCCCCCCAAACCAAGCAAAGCAAAAGATCAAATTGGGTGGTACATCAAAAGTCGACTGTAAAATCACTAATTCTTTTGAATGAATGGATTCAAGTGGTACACGTGATGTTCTCATAAAAGAATACCACCTTATATATAATATA